GGCTCTGTGGGTTCAGGGGCCACACACTACAGGAGGGCAGGGCGGGGGTCATTTTTTGTTTTGAGTCTCTCTAAGACTGCCTGGAAAATGAGGTCTCTCAGGTCTGACATTTCCATGAAATCCCAACCATGAGGCTGACCAGAGGCCACCAGCGTCAAGATCTCTCAGGTCTAGGAGGAACACTCCCCTCAGGCTGAAATCCTTTTGCTTCCAGGGCCTCAACCTTCGACTGCTGAGTAGAAAGCCCCCTCTGTCACCGGCCCACAGATCTCCACCGCGATGGTGCTCAAACCCTGTCAGGCGGTGGGGAGTGTGGACGGCAGGCTGACGCGGTTTCAAAGAGGCCGACCAGGCAAGAACCATCCTGTACTCCTGCCCCGGCTCTAACGCAATAAAATGTCGTTTATCAATGTAATTCAAGGCAGAGAGTCAAGGGTCTGTCACCATTTTAAAGAGGCTTATTACATGGCCACAAAAATTTGCCTCAGGCTCAAACCTGGCATGTAAGGTATCAGCGTGGGACAGGTTCTTTTGATTTGATTTTATTTTCTTACAAAATCTGAAAATGAAACGCTTCGGTCCCTCCCTTCCACCAACCGTTTTTTTGATTTATGGGGAGGAGGAAAGAAATCTGAAGTTGACAGGTTGGGACAACTCCACTCCGCTTTCTCACTCAAAAGCTGCTTTTGTTAAATCATACTTTGCATTTATGGCCTGCGGCTCTTGGCTGACTCTGGCGGCTCATCCAAAGTGGAGCAAGCTGTGGACTTCCCAGGAGGAGGCCTCACTGAGATGACTGGCCCCTTCTGCACCAAGGACAGGGCGGCCCTGAAGTCCAGGGGGCTGGGAACATGCAGGCACTGGCTAGACAATGCAAAGGATATGTCTGTCTTCTGACCCCAGCTTTCCACTCCATTTCTCCTGGATCCAGGTCTCCCTGCAATCAGCATGCATCTACCACTGGTTCTCCAACTAAAATTCAAGGCTTCTGAGAACCAAGACTCAATGGTCTACCTCTGACTGCCTGGCACCATGCTGGGCAACGAAGAGCCCCTCAATAAATACTCAGAAAGCAAGCACTGTGCAGTGAACTTTTCTTCCCGTGGGAGAGCTATTCTAAATGACCCGGCTGGAGGGACCAGGCCATGGAGCCAGCAGTGACCAGGGGAAACCTTCCCTAGTAAATGATTCACTAACCAAGGAGCCTCTGGGTCAGCCTTGACCCAGGAGAGGATTATAGTCCCTTAGAAGTTGCTGCTGGTCCATCACTTCACTGTACTATTTTGGCAATCTGTAATAGTGTATTTATTCAATGGTTATCATGGACAATCAGGTTAATAATTCACTTTCCAAATGCTATGTAATTACACAGTTAGAAGAGCTACAATGGAAGTCAAATTTCCTTAAGTCTTCTGATGAATTGGTCTCAATTACTAGTCCAGGTCCCTTTGTCCTTCGTCTCTCAAGTTTTTTAGCAATCCTCCACATTTTCCTCTATTCTTATCCCCTACCTGCACCCCCATCTGTCTGTCCCGAGAGAAAGAATGGTGTGAAGTACATCGTTGGAATAATCCCTATTTTTGAACCTGAACCCATAGTTCTCAATAGTTTTTGCTCCACTAAAAGGGCTTAAAAATAAGGCTAGGAAGCTAGCCCTGGGAGGTGCATTACAGGATGGCTGGAAGCCCCCAGCTGCCTCCCTGCCTCAGATGCAGAAGAACACCTGCAGCCACCCACACCTTGTCACCCAAGTAGCACTAGATCCTGGTACAGCCCAGTGGCGGCCACAGCCCAGGGAATGAAGAAGGCAAAGCCCAGCTGTGCTCAAGGAGACTGGGGCTTCCCAGCCCAAAGACTGGGAAGGGCCCTGGAATGGGATATCCCCTCCCCTCCCAGCACCCCATTCCCAAACCTAGCCAGCCACCTCTGCTTAAGACATGCTGGAAGTCGAGAAGAGAGAAACAAGTACACCTTGTAAATAAAAATGAAGCAGGGATCCTAGGAAAAGTAAAAACATTCAGAACCCAGGGCCTTCTCTCTGTCTCCCAGGAGCTAAACCAAGCCCTTCACACCTCTGCTCTGTGGCTTTAACACACTACACCCCACCCACCACAAGCACACACACATGCTCGCAAGAGTCAGAGGGTCACCCAGGGCTGGAACTGAGGCCACCCATGCCACAGCTGGCAGGTGAGGGCAGACAGGAGTCAAGGATGACAGTGCTGTCCACAGCTGGCCCCTGGCTAAGAGCAAGTGCAGCAGAAACAGTGTTTCTTCTCCATTTCCATAGCTTGTGAGTTTTTTGTCTTTTTTGTGTTTTGTTTGTTTGTTTTTGTGCTCTACCCTCTGCATCTTTCTTTCTTCCCACATGCTCCAGCACACACAACTCAAGGCTCCAGTGTATTCAAGGTGTTTTTTGTTTTGGTTTTTATTTATTTATTTTTTTTTTACCCCACAATTGAGATTAATCTTCTTTTTTTTTTTTGAGAAGGAGTTTCGCTCTTGTCACCCAGGCTGGAGTGCAACGGCACGATCTCGGCTCACCGCAACCTCCGCCTCCTGGATTCAGGCAATTCTCCTGCCTCAGCCTCCTTAGTAGCTGGGATTACAGGCACGCACCACTATGCCCAGCTAATTTTTTGTATTTTTAGTAGAGATGGGGTTTCACCATGTTGACCTGGATGGTCTCGATCTCTTGACCTTGTGATCCACCCACCTCGGCCTCCCAAAGTGCTGGGATTACAGGCGTGAGCCACCGCGCCCGGCGAGATTAATATTCTAACAGACCCCCAGTACATTTTATGTGATGGTGGAAGAGACTTTTGACGATCACAGTGTCCTGGAATGAGCTCAGCATGCTCTCTGGGAAGTGAATCGGGAAAAGTCTCAACACACAGACAGCCCCACAGAAAATTCTCCAGCTCAGGAAACCACCTAGATACAGAGGCCTTCTCCAGAACCTCAGGTCTGTTCTAGTCCTGGTGTCAAAAGAAGGGGGTTGGACTGATGTTTCCCAGCAGACGGCTTGGTTGTCACTTTCAGACCTAACATCCGATTCATCAAGGGCACTCCTGACTCCCAGGAGGAGAGGCAGACCTGTTAAGCGGTGGGGTGGAGGGGGTAGTTTCAATACACTTAGGACATTTTGGACCATTCTATCTTGAGAGTTTAGTTTGGTTGGAGTTTAGTTTTTGGGTTGTTTGTTCAGGTTGTGGTTTCTTTTCCTCCATTAAAAAAAAAAAAAATTGGAACTGTATTTCTGTTTCCTGTTCATGGAGCGGACAGAAGGAGGGTGTGCAGTGGAGGAGGTGTGTGGGGGGGAGGCTGATACATGGAGCAGAGCCGAGAATATCCGGAACTGGAGAAAAGTGAGAAATGGAGCTTTTTTCTTGGCTTCCAAACAGTTGTAATTTCCACTGCCACTGCTTAGTTCCTGGGCACCAGGCATAGAGAGTGGGAAAGGGGCATGTGACAACTTTGCCACAAATCAGGATTTGGCATTTAAATCCACAGGAAGCAAGAAGAATAGAGGGACTGCTTATTTATAGATTTGCAGATGAATGAGATAACCAAAATGCACTTCTCGTGTATGTGAAGGAGCAATTCCATTTTCAGACTTGGAAAGTTCTCCATAATTAAGTATCGCCTGACCCCGAAAGCACACTGCATCCCAAGGTTAAGATCAGCTTCCTGAAAACTGGGCAGAAGGCTGCTGCTTCCGTGGTAGCTCAAGAATCCTATTTTGAAGGACAGGTTAGTACCACACTACATTTAACTGGATTCAGTTCATGTGATTATACAGTGCCTTGCTTTCTGGAATATGTAATCATCTCTTTCTGATGACATTTTAAATATCCAACTAGACAAATAATTGCAGCAATAATTGATAGCAGAGTCAAGCTGGAAGATCATTGATTGGCAGAGTCCCCACTGAAACAAATCTTTCTTTCAAACATTACAGAAATGATGATGCTTAAGTCTAACTTTTGCTGATAAATGCTCAAAATCTGATTTACTGATAAAGGCACCGCAAGAAAACCTGCACTTCAGCCTGTGATTACTTTGCGAGATGTTTGTGAAGAATCAGGCGGTATGATTTATATTATTTCCCATAAATAATTGCAAGTGTAGTGTAGATAGTTGGAAGAGAATCAACACAGGCCAGAGAAGTGTTGCTCCTTAATACTACACTTCCTGAATAATGCTGGCCGACAATCAGGGTTTACAGCCCTTTTCCCCTCTAATACACATCCCATGGTAGAGAAATGGTCTTGACAACGGGAATACCAGGAAAAAAAGACACACAAATAATCAGCTCCACTCAGGCCTTGGAAACCTGGTTTAAATCGATGCCTCAAACTGGTATTCAAATTCCCCTGCCCAGTGCAGAGTCCTGGCCACGGTCAGGAGACTTAGGCCCAGGTGAGTCCCAAATGATCTCAGGCAAGTCCCCAGGTATAGCTGCAGTCCCTTCAGCCCCAGTCTGTTTCTCTGTCCAAGGCAGAACCCAAATCAACTGCTGTCTATGTCACATGTTCAACTGTAAAATTTAAGTTAGGGCACTGTGTTCAACCATTCAGACCCTGTGGAATGCTGCAATTGTCAGAAATCACTCAAGAGAGGATGCTCGTCTCCAGGAAACATCAAATGAATGAGCTGGCATATTAGCAGACGTGGATTACAGTAAGGAAAATCTAAAACAGAAGATGTATCTGGATGCTTCAGCCGCCAACAAAGGAAGAATTCAGGGACTGGGTCTGAGCACTTGCCCAAAGCACTAGAAGAAGGGTTTCTTTTTATTTTTCTTAACTATTTTTCTTCCTCTGATTGTTCTTTCTTTCTTCCCTTCCTCCTTTTTTAAAATTTCCTTCTTTTTCTTTCTTGGTTGCTTTTCTTTTCCCCCTTTGAAACTGAACCATTATAAATGAGTTGGTCTCATAGCTTCTGTTAAAAATCAGAAGCTTGTTAGATGTAATGATTATCTGCATTGTGACACTTACCGCGTATGAGGGGTCTTGTCGAACAGCTTTACTCTGATTTAGAGCTCCTCTGTTAATTAGAAAGCCCTCAGATTTTCTGCAAATGCAGGTCACTATCGACAGCTCATGCTTTTGATGCTTCGTCTGTGACAGTTGTCGGACTGCCCTTCCAGGAGCTGGCAGGGTTGTCCAGACTCTGACAGTGTCAGAAAATGCAGTCACCACGGCCGCTTCACAGGAAGTTACACGCAAGGTCCACACACAGTTTCCCTGCCGCCCAGAAGCCTGATGAAACCTGCACTCAATTCAGCTGAAAATAGCTCGAATTCCAACCCTCTCTCCCCCTGCCTCCTCTCTTCCCCTTTTCCTCCTTTCTACTTCCAGCCCCTCTTTTTCCAACCTCTGTTTCCAGCATCTTCTTTCTCACCTTCCCTCTCTTTAGTTCCCAACAACTGGGGTCCTCTGCTGTGAAAAACAGCCACATTCACCAGAAAGGGAAGTAGGTTTTACAGATAAACCGGGTTGCATTTCACTGAAACAGCAGTGATTGTGGAACAGAAACTCTCCCCTCCCTGTCTTTTAAATAATATTTCCTATTTTTTTGCACAGGTCAGCAGTCGCACCTGGTGAGGCTGAGGTCAAGGCCGTACTTCCAACATAGCTCACGTGTTTTGTCTTAAGAGAAGGGGGACTTTGGAGGGGGGTGAGAAAAAAAGGAAAAAGAGAGGAAAGGTTAAACACTCAAGCAAAAATGAATATGGGCTGAGGTTTACTGCCCTTATCACCATTCCAGTGTAAACCTCAATATTATAGGAATTCTTGCTTAGGAATACCTCATTATGGAATATATGTGCTGGCAATCTGGGGAGCGGGGAGAAGGAGTATGTGTTCATGACCATGTGTGTAAACTTGTGTGCTCCAAATTTTACCAAGTTCAAGCCAAAAAATCCTCTGTGGCACTTGTTTAGGACTTGGCAAAAAAAAAAAAGGGAACAGTATTTAAATCAAAATAGGAAATATAAAAACGATTTGTACACCCTCCCCACCACCACCAAGGCATAGCCCTGGAAGAAAAAGGCATTCCTTGCAGCCACGGTTTCCCAAGTTGACCTTTTACCAGATCAATGCCCAATTCCCTAAACAGGTCTCCTTCTTCCTTGAGGTCCTTGCAAACAAATGCAGCAGTCCAGAGGGTAATACAAGTCTGGTCTTGGAGTTACTGGCTTATGAAATGCAATGGGATGAGGTGGGGTGAGAGGCCATAGCCCAGACTGAACGGCACAGTGACCAGGCAGGGTGGAGCAAGGCCACCCCAGCAAGAATGCCAAGGACAGCAGCAGCAGCTGCTGCAGTGGGCTACTAGCCCCAGCAGGGCCCATGCCTCCACGGCCATGCTGCTGTCGTCTTGGTTCTTGGCTAGCAGACACCAGCCCCAGGAAGGTCCTCCATGCCTTTAAGCTAACTGCAAAAACAGAATGGTGTAAGCCGGGGCAGACCCCCTACTCTTTTAGATCCTGCCTATAAGGGAAAAATAAACCTAGACCTGCAAAATAATGTGTAAAGTGGCAAAAGCCAATCAACTCATTTAAAAAGAAAAACCCTCCATCCAACGTCACGAAGCTGCTGAATATTAGGTTCCTGGGAAGCTGTCCCAGCAACCTAGATATGAGAAACAACGCTTGCTATTCTGGGGTGAGAAGTGAAGTTGCCTTTCACTCGGGACTGTCAAACACAGTCTATAAATACCAGCAACGCCCCTTGTGAACTACGGGCTGAGCTCAACCCAGAGAAGGCAAGTGTTTCCCAAAGGTCACACAGCAATTCCAGGTCCCCCAGAAGTAGCACTTCACCAGATGGATCCCTTCACCAGATATCTCTTGGAAATACACATTGCTGCAACTGATTCTCATTTTCAACATGAAGGCTGAGGAATGAGATTGCACATTTTAGTTTCTTTCCTCAACTTTCTTTTTCCAACCTTCTGCTCTGGTTCTCCTCTCCCCCACCACATATACAAAAAAATCTTTTTAGTATGTTTAGGGATCTATTTCCATATCTACCCCAAGTCTCCAAGCCCCTTGTTCTATCAGCAGGTCAAGAGTAGAGAACTGTGACAAGCTGTTCTCCATTCTGAAATGGATTTGACTGAACAGCTGCTGAAAGGCAAGACATCCTAGGGAGACTGGTACTGGGGATCTCAGGGTCCTTGTTCTGTGGGTGGACCATGGCTCCTTTCCAAAGAATGATTTGTGATTTGTTCTCTCTCCTACACATCAAAGTGAGACACCAATCACAGCTCTACTGGCCCACCTTGCCCCACCTCCAATTTGGCAACTTTACCTCCTTCTCACACAATGAGAGAGAATGGGTAGCCAAATTCTAAGAGTTCACTTTCTGCACATATGTGTAGTTAAGTACTGAAGTGAGAAATTCAAGAAAACTATACTTAGGCATACACACACACACACACACACACACACACACACACACACACACACACACACATTTTGAGAGATAATTTCTAAAGACCTACCAATCTAAGATATTGAAAGAAAATGACTACATCAGGCCCAGAAAAGCCTTGAAATTGTCCCTGTCCATAGACCACAGCCCTGTGCTGGACATGAGATCCTCCAGCTTTGAGATAAATAATGCACAGAAATGGGCAGCATGATGGATTAGCTGGAAGGTTATTATCAGACATGTGAACATGCCAACTCAGCTTCACAATTGGGCCCGAAACTTCTCTCAGGAAGACCTTGATAGCATTAGATGGCTGGCAGAGGTATCACGGTGTGACAGAGAAGCAGCCCACAGTCTGAGAATGACCACATCCCTTCCCAGGAGACATTCCCACCTAACACCCTGGGAAGGCTACCACCAGTCACTCTGTCTCTCAAACCTGGCCGTGGCTCAGCCCATGCCCATTCATGTATCCGCCTTTCTCCTGCTAACAGAAACGGAATCAGAACAAATTAATATTTAATTTTAAGATTACTATTCTATCAGAATTAAAAAGGCTCAGGAGATTCAAAGCAAAAGCAAATGCTCCTCCTTTAAGTCTAACGTTGCCATTCAGGTCTTTTGGAGGGCTAGGCACAGTGAGTTCCACTGTCTCCAACCTGTGATTTGCCACAAGGCAGGAGAGGGAAGGATAGCGCGACACCCCTAAGTGTGTGAAGTTCTAACCTTTTACCCAAGTAATGATCTACTTAATATAATATTTTGTCTTTAATCAATGAAAGAGTAAGATAATTTGATATCCTATAAAACTCCCTAACCTATATTTTGCAAGACGATTAACCGAGCTCTTCGTGCTAATGTCAGCAGAGCCCATGTTATATCTCCAGTCAGGCTTTCGGGAGTCTGCGCCCCACAACGCCACACACTGAAAGTGGAAGAAGAAAATTCACCAGGGGAAGCGGTGTAGTGGGCAGGTTACTTTTTCATCATCTGTATGGAAAGTGGGAAATCATCTTCTCAAATGGAGATTAGCTTCCCTTGGGATCCTTCTGGAGGGCTATAAATAATAGAACATACTGATCAACATTAGATATTTAAAAATGAATACAGATTCAGATTAAGGGAAAACTAAATGATGCCTTTATACAAATCCAGAACAAAACAAAACAAAAAGGCATGAAAAAGAAGGCTTAGCGGATCCCCCTTAAGTTAGCCCTATTCTCTGGCAACCAAACCAGCCTTTAATGAGGGTGTTCAAAGTAACCATTTCCCACTCCCTTACTTCTGAGCGGCAGAATTTAAAAAGCAAGAGGCCTAATTTTAATGCAGTGATTTTCCCATCGACCATTCTATCTAAGGAAGCTGCAGAAAGGTGAAGACTGGAACTTCATGAACTTTTATGGGAAATCTGGATAAGAATTTGATCTAAATACATGAAGAGGAACATGGACAGCTGGCACAAACACAAAATCCAAGTATTCCAACTCCAGCTCCCTGATCACATCTCCCACTAAAGGTTTGCTGACTTGGTTTTCCCAGCTCTAGAATGGAGCCCCATCCAAAGCTGGGGAAGCAGTATATGAACAATTAGATATTAAATGCTTATAGGTCCCTCTCTGTGCTAGTACTTTTGACCTGGGTTTCAAAAAACACAGTAACACTTATACTGTATTCTCATTATGTAGAAACATTTAAATTATCCTGGAAGAGTTTGTCTCACGGGCTGTTCAGAGAATGTTTCTTCCTTTCCTTCTAGGAACATGAGGAGTGAATCTATTTCATCGAAGGCTGTAAAAGATACCTCAGTCATGATTTTAACTGAACAATTTCTCCAAGAATTCAAACTGTGAGGGGGGAAGAAGACCGTCTCTTTGGTGGAGTGGGAGACACCATTGTGTCCTCCCTTGTTCCTCTCCTCTGTCCTTGGCAATCCAGTTACAATCTGACAGCATTTAAAGATGACAGTACTTGAGATAATAGGACAATGCCATAACAGGATTACAGCAAATGTGAAAGAAAGGACACACGTAGGTACTGTCATTTAGGTAATGTCATCTGTGATCAGTTTTTGTTTCATTTTTTGCTGACACAGAAGTCAGTACTACTTATACAATTCACTGGAAACCCTGTTATGGATATAAATAGTTTGCTTCCCACAATGAAAGAAAATATGTATTGTACTGCAAGGGAATTAGGTAAAACTGTCTAGTTTTAATTAACATGAAAATAATAACAAAAAAAATCAAATCAATATCAATAACCAAAGATCCAAAATCAGCCTAAAGTCACAGCTATCCAAAACAATTTTTTTTTGAGACGGAGTTTTGCTCTTGTTGACCAGGCTGGAGTGCAATGGCATGATCTCGGCTCACCGCAACCTCCGCCTCCCAGGTTCAAGCGATTCTCCTGCCTCAGCCCCCTGAGTAGCTGGGGTTACAGGCATGCACCATCATGCCTGGCTCATTTTTGTATTTTTAGTACAGATAGGGTTTCGCCATGTTGGCCAGTTTGGTCTCAAACTCCTGACCTAAGGCGATCCACCCACCTTGGCCTTCCAAAGTGCTGGGATTACAGGCCTGAGCCACTGGCCATATCCAAAACAAATTTATCTTCAATGAAAAAAATTGCTGTGTGTCCTAAACAACAGGTGGTCAAGAGGTTTCTAAAGGGTATCTTAGACCCCAAAGAAACTGTTGCTTTAGAGTTTGAGGAAAATAAAGTGGAAATACCTAACTAAATTCCGAGTGTGGAAGCCAGTCAACACTAACCTACCTGCCAATGGGGTCCTTGTCAGTCACTTACACTCTTCCTCATTCCATCACTTTTATGTCATTTTGCCCACAACATATCCAAATTCATATAATAGAAGGGTTTGGAACCCAGTGCTACTCTACTTCCTAACTAATTTCTGCCACTGGAAGTTTGTTCCAAAAGCCACCAAGTCTCCTAGAAGCCCTTATTTCTTGACAGTGAACACACGGCTGCCCTGCCTGCCATTAAAATAGCTGCCTCATCATCCAGGATGACAAAGAACCACACTGTATGCCAAGTGACCAGCCACAAACAAAAGCTTGTTTGGCCAACACCTGTCTCAAAAGAAAATTCTGGCTAGAAAAGGAAGCCCCTGAAGGAGACTGAAAAGAAGGTCTGACGTGAAATTCTAACAGAGGCTCGTCCCCCTCTAGGACACTCTGGGTCACTAGCATCTCTCTCTGCTTTCCTTGTTCCCCGGCTCATATCCTGAGACCCCAGGCCCTTCTTCTTTCCAACTACCTGTTTACTGCCACTTTTATCAGCCACTATCTCACCTCATCCAAAACCGTTTATTCAAATTCAGGCTAGCGTAATAACCTCAAAGCAGGCGGACACTATAAAAGGGAGGTCACAGGGATATGAATTTTGATGCCTGCCTTGTTTTGTCACAAATGCTATCAGGAAACACCATCCATGTCCTGAGCATCCCAACGTGGATGGACTGGAGGAGAGGGACAAGGGACCAATACAGGCCCTGATGGGCCCTTGGTTCTGAACTTCATCCCTGCCCACTCCCCATCTGCAACGGGGGCAAAGGCAAAGGAAGGCTTTCCAGGATTTCAGCAGTCATCTATATTAGTAACAGACCCATGTGCTAAGTTCCTACGTTGTCTGGCTCCATTCTGCCTGTGAAAGGAAGCCTGATAGTCAACCAGTTCCATCCTCTAGAACATGTAGGTCAACAGAGGCAAATTCAGCATGAAGGGTATTACAGAGAATTTCAACAACTCATCCACCTGCTTTGCAGAGTCCTCAGTTAACATCCCCTAGCATGCTGCCTTTGTCTTCTGCTCAGAGCATTTCAACAGCCCTCTGTGATCCATAGGATGTGGTCCAACTCCTTATGCCATAATTCCAGAGATCCACAATCCAACTCCAGATTTCTCTTTCAGTCTTAGTTCCCTCTTCCCATCAATGAAAATATTACACCCAAGTAAAGATCCCTTCCGTTCTCATTTCCTTCCTGGCTTTTCTTCTTGTTCTCTTACCTCCTGGAATCCTGCTCATACTTCAAGGCCTCACTGAAGGTCTACCTAGTCACCTTAGCGAGAATAATCAATCTCATCCTTCTCCAATCTTATAGAGCACTCATCCCATGCACCATCCCCTGACTCACATCTAGGCCTTACATTGCTGGCCAATCGTCTATGCCTCTAATTAATACCATGTCTTCCAAATGTCCTCCGCTTTCCATGTACAAGGAATTCCTCTGCCTCAGACTCCCAAGTAGCTGGGACTACAGGCGCACCCCACCACACCGGGCTAATTTTTGTATTTTTAGTAGAGATGGGGTTTCACCATATTGGCCAGGCTGGTGTCAAACTCCTGACCTTGTGATCTGTTCACCTCAGTCTCCCAAACTGCTGAGATTACAGGCGTGAGCCACTGCGCCCAGCCTCCCAATGTGTTTCTTAAGTACAGGGACTCTTTCTCCTGCTTGCTTCTATTATATTTGAAAGTACCAGCACAGCATGTAACATGATATTCGTATATCCTAGGAATTCAACAAATAGCATATAAATGACTGATTTACCTTCCTAAAACGGAAGTTATTTTTCCAAATATCATTTCTGTTCAAAATGGTAATTTTAACCTTCTTAGCACCCACAAACAGTTCCCTTCTGATATCTACTTGAACTTTCAGATAAAAAAAAGCAAGTTGCAGTAACAAGTTATGCTACACAAAGATTAGCATGAATATCCACCCTCTTTAAACAGCCACCCCACACCCTGGAGAAGAGCAAATGTGAAGTTCATGTGCCAACCAGACTGTGTGCCAGGTGGGTCAAGTCTGACATAGTTACCAAAAAATAACAACATCTTCTATATGTGAAACCCAGCTATGTGGTTGTGCAACTCCATAGCTGACTTTCAACCATGGTCATCTGCAAACAAGTTAGTCTCAGCCACCTGCACATCCTGAATGCAAAAAGCTAAGTTTTAAAAGCATATTCTTAATGCTCTTTTAAATGCAGCACTATTAAAAGGACCTCATTTTGATGCCAGAGGGCAGCAAACATGGACATTCTTGGTCCCCTTCAGCTATTAAGTATGGTAAAGGGAAGTCCTAACTATCATTTGAAATGCTCCCCACAGTTCTCCAGGCTGGGCTAACTGTCCACATCATCAAAATACCCTGGGCATCGGAGCCAAGACGTGTGGCCAGGTAGGACCCAACACTACACAGGCACAGACCTTTTCCATGTTAAGAACCCAAATCTACACAGCCCTTGGCACCCAGACAGGTTCAGAAAAGGCAGTCCACACAAATCTGCCAAACAAATGAATAAAGTTCAGACATTGCATTTATACTAACTACCTGGGAAATTGAGAGAGAATCTGGAGAGAAAGATGGATGTAAGAAAAACAAAAATTCTCACTTTACAGGAATTCACTAGTTACACAGTTAGCGTCTCCACTTAAGGAGAAGATACACTGATGAATAAGACTGAGTTGGTGGCAGGCATGGTGGCTCTCGCCTGTAATCCCAGCACTTTGGGAGGTCAAGGCTGGAGGATCACTGGAGCCCAGGAGTTCAAGACCAGCCTGGGTAACACGGCGAAACCCCATCTCTACAAAAAAAATTTTTTTAATTAGCCAGGCACGGTGGCATGCACCATTAGTCCCAGCTACTCGGGAGGCTGAGGCGAGAGGATGGCTTGAGCCTAGGAGAGCAAGGCTGCAGTGAGCTATGAACATGCTACTACACTCCAGCCTAAGCAACACAGCGAGACCCTGTCTCAAAAACAAACAAACAAACAAACAAAAAACAAATAATTAGGCTAATCTTTGGAATAAATTTATTTCTGGGGAAAAAAAGACTTAATTGTGTGCTCCCTCCCCTTTGTACTTTTTGAAGCCTGCTAGAATTCTAGGAAAATAGATTTCCTGCCCTTACTCTCTCCTTCCTCACACACTCACCAGTGCTCATGTGCTTCTCTGACCCACATGCTCTGCTCATGCTGAATAACCCCACCTCAGTGGGCCTCTCTCTCTCTCCATCATTACCAATTTCTCTAAAATTTCAGAATCCAAAGGGCATTCTCATTTCCTTGAAATGTACTTTGTCTTGAACTCCCGACTTCAGGTGATCCGCCCGCCTTGGCCACCAAAGTGCTTGGATTACAGGTGTGAGCCACCACGCCTGGCCGAAATGTACTTTGGTGCTACCCTGAAAGATGGCTAGAGTTTTGAGAAGACCCAAACAGTTAAAGGTGACAGACAGACTTGGTCCCACTCAAGTTGGTGGGTGTTCCATTTTGTTTCGCTTTAGCTTTATTAAGGTACAAATTACATACAACAAAAGTCATTTATTTTAAGTGTATAGCTAGATTAAATTTGCTAATTGTATACAGCTGTGTGACCTCCACCAGTGCAAGATACAGAAAGCCCCCCATGCCCCTTTGCTGTCGATCCCCTCCCCAACCCTCTGACCCCATCCTTATAATCACTGAACCCCCACCTGACACTATCATTTTGAGAATTCCAAAATTTCATGTAAATGGACTCAGACAAGATGTCGCTTTTTGTGTTTAATTTCTTTCACGGAGCAGAATGATTCTGGGATTCATCCATGGTGTTGAGTGTGTTACTATTTCATGTTTCTACTCTTGAGTTGTATTCCACCATACAGCCGTTTATCCATTCACCTATTGGTTGCCATGTGGGTTGTGACCACTTTTTGACCATTATGAACAGTAATACAATGGACACCGTGTAGATGTGTTTATAGGACCATATGTCTACATTTCTCTCAGGTAAATATCTAAGGCATTTCAAGAACACAGAAAGGTTTTGAGTTTGAGAGTCCAGGGAGCCCTCATTTTGTCATCCTCCAGGCTACCCCTCCCACCCCATTCCCCGGAGAGTTCAACTCCAAAGCCTGTATCCCCACCATCTGTTTGGCTCAGCTACCAAATGTCGTCCTATTCCAAACAGAAACCTCTCCACTACCCTAAGGAAATAATGGGAAGAGACCCCAAATCATTCTTAAAATGGTCATTCATTTGAACTCAGGCCAAATGAATTGGACTCTGGGTCAGAGATAACCATTAAATATGGTGTTCAGAGTCCTAAGAGTCCCACTAGCCCAGAGACGGGCTTAGTTGACCACCTCCAAGAGCAGCATAGAGTCCACGAGATGACTACTACCTTGCAAAAGGCCTTGGGAAGAAAGATAACACCAAGGTCTCACACAACACTCCAGGGAGGCAGCTGCCGCCCAGTGCTGTGGACAGCAAAGCATCAGTGCAGAAAATTGAGATTCCCCCCCCTGCCTCCCCTTCCCCCATCCTCATCAGCTGAGCCAGGGCAGGGCTGGGGGACCAGAGGTGAACAGGAAGCAGAAGGACCCCTGGGAGAGCCAGAGCCTCCAGTGGGACCAGAGCTGAGTGGCCCAAGGCAGTGGCAGAAGCTGATTAAAGGAAGACACGGGAAGTGGAGGGGAAGTAGACAAAAGACAGGACAGCCATCTTAGACAACAATGCAAGGGGGAGAAGCTGAAGAAAACCAAACAGAGATCACTACTGACAATAAACAGAGAGGGACAGTGAAGCCCATGGGTGAGGCACGCCTACATTACTTAAGACACCTGAGCACATTCTTACGCCTGGGGCAATAAATTCATCCTTGAGTTACACTAGCTGAGCTGGAGTGAGAGAGAACGATGCTGACATGCCAGATGGGAGAGTGGGAAGACGTGGGCTGGGTGCTGGGAGTTTGGCTTCTCATCTGTGCATGGCCTCTAAACTGGCCAGTGACAATGACCTGGTCACTTCCCCACTCTGGACCTGGGTTGCCCCTCTGTAAACAAGGAGGTTGGAATAAATTATCTCTAATACCCTAATGTCTTATAAATCTTGTGCAATTTTTGCCAAGATGGGAGTATGGGGAGAGAAGAGTGGAAACAGCCCAGAGCTCAGTGAGATGAGATATCAAAGGGGAGGAGAAGTGTTCATTTCATCTTCCTAATCTCCAATTGGCAAAGCCAGGCTGGGGGCAATATGGACTGGTTCTGTGATGACAAATAACTCCTAGCTCATTCCTAATGATTCATCACCAAATGTTCTTTCTTCAGCTAGAATTTAAAAAATGGACTCATCCGTAAAATAGGAATAATAATAGTATCTGCTTCATAGGGTTGGTATGAAAATAAAATGAGTGCATATTTGTAAAGTTCCTGGAGCAGAGTAAGTGCTCTGAGCTTGAGAACTAAAACGCATGCCTCCTGGGATTTATTAGTTACACCTCAGCAGAAACAAGGTTATCAGGCCCTTTCCCGAGTTCCCAGTTTGGGTCAGAAGAGAAGGGAAGAGGGAGAGGAGAAAGGAAGAGAATATGATGTGGAGGGAGGCAAGTCGGTTGGGAACATAGACTCTAACTCAGTAGCTGGTACCTGATAGATGTCTATATGGGATGGATGGGTGGACAGACTGACACATGACAAATGGACAGCGGTGAGGAGGGGAGAGTGCAGACAGGGAACCTTCACCTCCTTTACAATTTTGGGAGTCCACACGGCATGGCATACAAATCCATTTTATTCCCATCGAGAAATAAAATCCAATTCTCCACCAGCAAGAGAGCCTTCCGAAAGAGGCCCCTCTGGGTAAACGGCCACTGACCGAGAAGTCTGCCAGTCTTCTTCCACCCCACCCATGCCCCCACCCTAATCAGAGGCCAAACCCTTCCTGGCGCCTGTGATAAAAGCAACTGTTAGCTTGCACTAGACTAGCTTCAAAGTTGTATTGACCCTGGTGTGTTATGTCTAAGAGTGGATGCCCTATCTCTTTTCTGGCCAATGTTATTACCTGTATGGACTTTGCACTGGAATCAGCTATCTGCTCTTACTTATGCACACCTGGGGCATAGAGCCAGCCCTGTATCTGTTTTCAGCCGTCTTACTTCAGATAATTCCCAAGTCCTGTCTAGCTGCCTTCCTTATCACAGGGATAGCACCCAAGGTCCATCAGGGCCTCAGAGCAGAATCCCCTACAAACAAGTCTGGTTTGGCCATGGAGGACAGTCAGGCTGTTTTTGGGGTGGGGTGCAGATATTCTCTGTCTGTTGTGATGCTTACATATAATGTCACCATAGACACTTGCATGTGTTGTGATCCCTGTGGTTTGAGAGTTTGGAGCTCTCTAAAAGTCAAAATGTTCCAAATGGGTCATTAATCTGCACATACACATAAAAGGGACCTGGCAAACCCCAATTCTCTTCCTGATCAGAGACAAGCAATTTGATACCCCTTCCCCAAATCCAAACCCCTTGCCACCATGGGAGCCTGGGGCAGAGAAGGCACAGTGAAGTCAAATTCTAATTCCAGTCTTTAAATGGTACTGTCATTTTTCTGAAAGTCTCTAAATTACAAGGGCATTTTCACTTTTCTTAGCATATTTTTTTAAAACACCTAAGAAATATACTGCAGATCTGGAAAAGAGAACAAAAAGAAGAGAAGGCATCCAGGGTCACCCTCCTATGTGAAAAGTCAATTGATGATGAAGGTTTTTAGGATAACAAGAGGGGAGATGATGGAAAGCAATGCACATGTGAAGGAAATGGATTAGGGAAACAGGGACTTGTTCATGAAAACCCAGAAAACCAGAACCAGGAAGTCCGGGAAGTCAGAGAAACAAATCATGACTTAAAAAGCGGAAGTCCTACACACATCTACGGAATGCCTTGTCCCACAAGGCAACATGGGCTGCCACAGGGGGGGACAGGGTGGGAGCAGACCAACCCAGTGGTGTTGCTGAGGGGTAAGGGGCTAGCCCTATGAGGCGAGTGTCCAGGGCAGAACTGGAGCTTTGTGCAACTGTTTCCCAGGCAGAGACAGAACACTAGGCTGGTGCTGCCAGTCTGACAGTAGGTCTGCCATTGTCCTTTGGTCAGCTCTGGACACACGGCAAAAGTGAGTTCAAAACAGCCTGGAGCAGGAGAGAGGGAAGAGAGGAGGATAACACCCATCTTCCACTTTGCTGCAGGTTTGAGACGAGGATCTGAGCCAGTTACGCATTCTGGAAGGGCCTGGTGAGTACATCTCTCCTGTCTTGTACACCCCTCTCTCCTTACCGACTTTCTCTCCCAGCAGCCAGCAGGGGCCTGGGTGATTTCTGGACTGCAAACCCTGACCACACAGACTTATACGCCAGGACGGTCAACAGGCAGCCTTTCCCCCTCTGGGTTCCATTATGATCACTCTTGCTGTCTTGCTCTTATGTGCACTCTCTCTCTTTCTCTCTCATTCTGCTCCCAAGAGGAGTCTTAGGTCGACCCCTTCCCCAAATCTCCCTCACTGGATACAATAGTCATAGGCCTGAAAAGCAGCATGCAAACTGAATTTTTGTAAAGCAGGACCCATTTTCCCAACGACAGTCATAAGAGAGGAGTGAGCACAACTTAGCACTTAATTTCTGTCTTCACGATTACTTCATGACAAATCTGGATTCCAAAGGGTCTGTAAGTTCTCACATGGAAGGAAGCAAGCTCTCTACTCCTCCCCCACTGCTGCGTGGACAGGGAGTACGCCACAGACACCTGTTGGCCAGCCAATTCTAATTCCCTATAGCTAGCATCCCCTAAGCTAGAGCTGGAGCTATTTCCTTGCAGCCTTCCTTTTCTCTAGCAAAGTCCTTCCATGCAGTAGTTAATGACCTGTAAACACTTAATGAGCTAGAGAAATATTCCATCAAAAGGAATACCACATGCATCCTTTTGTAAAGTGCAGGGAAAAAATCTTTTGTAAAATGAAGCATCGCTTTTAACTGCTCTGTTTGATCAAGTCAGATTTTTCAGAATATGCATAACTAGTATTCAAGCACATAAAAACTGACTTCAAGTCAATCAATCCCTAGAAACTAACCCTCAGGTTTGCAGACCAAGGATATATGAGAGTGCTTTGAAGTCTGGACTCAAACCCCAGCTCCTGAATTGAATTAGAACGTTCCACGTGGACAGATTCATGGCCCCTAACATCAGGAATCAGTGAGAAACTCCTTCAGCACTCACCAGTCACTACGTATCTCAGTGCCATATCCTATCACGGTGATGATAATAACCATTATGATGATAATAATCACCATAGCTTCCACTGGATGGCACTTTGCACCTTCCAGAGCAATTTAACACCGTTTACTTTTTTTGGAAGGCCTTCAGGACCAACCTCCTACTCTTCCCTTTCTCTGAACCATCACCTTACTATCAGCACATATTTCCCCCAAAGGACCCAGTGGCCTCTTTTGTCTCGTTTCTCGCTTTGCTGATGATCCAGTAGAGGAATGATCAAAAGGACCTTGCACATTGTCCTCAATGAACCAGGCTTCCTCTTCAGGATGGAAGTGACACAGGTGATAGAAGGGCGAGCCTGGACCCACCATTTCATTGGCTGAGGAGGACCCCATAAAGTCAGGGTGTTGCAGAGATTGCTGTGCACAAGATCCAAGAGGCCCGTGGAGGTGGGGAGATAGGGGACCCACCGAGCAGTCCTTTGAGAGCAGGGATCTTGTCTTTGAGGAAGGACATCACTCTGAGCAGGGCTGGGAGAAGGGAGTGTGGAGGGGAGAACTGAGCCAGACTCCAAGCAGCAAGGGCCTCTATGTAGGTGGGTGTGTGGCTCTGCAACGGGACCCAGCAGCCCTGGGCACAGAGGTGGTGAGTGGAGATAGTGCCCATAGTGATAACCAGGCAGGGCCTGGCAGAAGAGGCCCTGGACACTGAAGGCTGGGCACAGCCTCCAGGACCGCTCACAGGACATGCCTCAGTGTGTGCTGACAGCTCCTCCCCACCGCGACCCCTATCAGTGCCGACCAAGTGCACAAGATGCACACCCCAGCTGGGCTGGACAGAGGGGTCCCGCAGGGTCACAGGGTGTGCCCCAAGGAGGCGGGGAGCTCACAGTCTCCAAGCATTGCATCATCCTGGTACCAGGAAGGCAATGGGCTGCCCCATACCCACTTCCCTTCCTAGACTTGGCCTGGGACATTCATCATCTAGCCACCTTTGGCACCTGCATTTGTTTTTCAAATTTTAATAGCAGATAGGTTTAGCGTGCTAAGCAGAGCTGAGCAGAGGTGATCTGACCCCTCCAACTACTCACTTAAGATCAGTCAAGAGAAAGATGCAGGCAGATAGATGACATGGGGAGAAGCCAGTGAGGTCATCTGTAAGTCCAAGGTCGTCCAAACCCACCCCATTTTCAGCCAGACTGCTAATTCTCTGAGGAACTGGAGACTGTGTTGCTTAGAAAATCCTCTTTGATTGACATACTAATATGTATGTGCCTTATACATACATTTGAATCACCTGTAAATCTTGATGAAACTCAGATGACTGTCCAACTCATCCAGCAACTACGTTTCTCTAATAGAACAGGAAGCAGGTGGGGAAGGGGGTGAGAGGCAGAGCCAGTGTTTCTTCCCCATTTCTTCCCCATTTTCCCTTCCACTGACTCTGTACCCACACAGGCATCCAAAGGGAAGAATGCTACAGCTACCATCCATTTCTCACTGCTTTTTCTAGGAGATGGCCCTATAATGTGTTCCCCAGTATTCAGGTTTCCGGGCTGCTGCTATCACCTCTGGTCTTGGGGCCCAAGCCAAAGAGCTGGAGAACAGTTTCAGGCCACAGAGCCTAGGGCCGGGTAAGCATGACAGCTGTGTGCAGGGTGAATGAACAGCACCCTCTGTCACCCCCACAGTGCCGCAGGGATGTGACGCCCCTTCCCCAGCCATACCCTTCTGGGCCACAGTGCTGGAGGCTGAAGTCAAAGCCCATCGTGCCTTATTCCTTCAAGAGCAATACTCCTGGGAAAGGCTGCACATTCTGTAACTCCTCTGAGTGATATTTCCTCCCAGGGGCAAAAAAGGAAATTAGCCCCATTTTATAGATAAGGAGGCTGAGGCCTGATGGACTTGATCAGCTTGTCTGGGGCCACCCAGCCAGCAGGTGAAAAGACTCAAGTATAACTGGCTTTAGAGCCCAAGCTCCTTCAATGTCCCACATTCTCAAGATAGTGTTTGCCACAGGCCAAGGCTAGCAAAGAGACCCCTCCAACCCCTCACACCTCCCCACCAGTCCCATGCAGGTGTCAGTGAAGCCCAAGAAACGTGAGGCCCCAGGACCGAAGGGGTGGACAGCACTGAAGGAAACTGCTCAGCCTTGAGTGCAGAGGCTGTTGTGAAACAGCTCTGGGCAGCGCCTGGGCCACAGTATGTGGAAGGAGCCATGTTCCTAAGCTGCCTGGTACTCTGCCATCTCTCTCTTCTTCTCTTCCTCCTAACCCATAAGCACCAGACCTCAAGCCCCACATGCAGCTCTAGCAGCTGCTAGCCCTCAAGCACCGACCTGGCTCCTCCCAGACAGGCCAGCCCAGGCGAGCCCCTCCAGCCAGGCACCCACCCCACTGCCAGGCTGTTTACTCTTAGCTGGTATTTGTCTTCTGTCTGCTCCCTTGTAGCTCCCTCCCTCCTCTCCTCCTTTCAGTCCTCTGCCCGGACCTGCCTAAGGCTGCCTGCCAGTGAGAATGCATGTCAGGGCTATGCCCTGGGCACTGAGGGCTGGGGTGCCCAGAGGCCTGCAGCTGTGCCCTGGATGGAAAACCAGCAGCCTGCAAAGGTGTGAGGGCAGCACAGGAGTTGTGTGTGAGAGGGTTGTCTTGAGAGTGAAACTCACCACGTGTAGCCCAGGCAGAGAGGGGACAGTGGGGTGGGGAGGACACTGGGGGAGGAAGAGCAGGTGCGGGGCAGGTCAGGTGAGGTTCTAGAGACCAGTTCCCCCAGGATGCACTGCCTCTGCTCCCCTGCCCCCATGAACCACACCTCTGTGGGCTGAGAGATGTGCCTTCAGAGCAGGGCAGGGAGCAGCTGGGGGCCTGGCCAGAGCAACCATCACAGGAGGAAGGTACACTAGAGCAGGCAGCCTACCCAAGAGCCAGGGAAGGAAGGAGAGCCTCTGAGAAAAAGTGTGGGAAGGATGGAAGGGACTATTTGTATTGAAGGGATAAATCAGACACCCCACACTTTCCAACCCCTTGGGACAGGATTCAGAGCCAGGCTCGGGGCTGCTACGTAGAGATGACATCCATCAGCAGTTAAGGTGTAAAGCCAGGCTATAAGGCTGACAGGCCGTAGGCATCAAACTGGGAGCTCAGAGTCGGGGCACATGGCTGGCTGTGTACCTCACAACAGCTCTTTAACCTCTCCAAGCCTCCGTTTCTTCACTGGTAAAATAGCCATGAGGACACTGTATGGCCAGCCTCCTAGGGTTGCTGATGGAAATGATTCAAAGAAATGTCTGTGGACCAAGCCTAGCTGCGTGGGCTGGCAAGCATTTCTGGGTCGCTGCATTCTCCTCTGTAAATTGGGGAAACCCTGAACTGCTCAGCCGACCTCATGGTTGACTTAACTCAGCAACAGAGGTCTCCACAGGAGCCCTGCCCACATGAGACATCTTTGGCACATCTTCTGAAACAAGACCTGTTTCTGGAAAGTTGTTGGTAAATATCCAGTTTTGCACGTATATTACTGTTTCCGAAAAGCTACCTTCATTCTGCTTTGAGTCAATGGCAGCTAATTTCATTCATTTGGTCCAGACCTGTAGTGCTTCTTGCCAGAAGAACACAGTGGAATGAGCCTCATTCCCTGCCCTCAAGGAGCACACAGTCTAGTGGCTCTGTCTTTAATATCTATAAGAGCACAGGTAAGTGTCAGGAAGCCATGGTCCTCTGGAGAAATGAAGAACACTCATGTAATATGATTAATCACTTCCAAATATTCTACCTGGTTTAAAAGTTCTCTCTCAGGTGCTTCCCTGAGTGGCAAGAGGGAAAGGCCTTCCACAAGTACTTACACTGCTTTCTTTTCTTTTCTTTTCTTTTAAGATGGAGTTTCCCTCTTGTTGCCCAGGCTGGAGTGCAATGGTGCGATCTTGGCTCACTGCAACCTCCCTCTCCCGGGTTCAAGCGGTTCTCCTGCCTCAGCCTCCCAAGTAGCTGGGATTATGGGTATGTGTCACCACATCCAGCTAATTTTGTATTTATTTTTAGTAGAGAGGGGTCATGTTGATCAGGCTGGTCTCGAACTCCCGACCTCAGGTAATCCGCCCGCCTCAGCCTCCCAAAGTGCCGGGATTACAGGCGTGAACCACCACACCCGGCCTTATACTGCTTTCTTAATTACAGTGATGTGCTTATCTCACATAAAAATGTAAGAGGGGAGAACAGGAAGATGAATTCTGAGAAGTTATATCAGACCTTCTGCCTCTCTACATTCCAGAACGGTCTTTTATTCTAATTATTTTACGGGTGAATTATGGAATACAGTAGTATTATGTTTCTTTCTACGCAACTTGTGTTTCAGTAGGTGAAATCTCAGGCTAACAGAGCTTCAGGGAGGAAAGGCCAGACTAAAAATATCCCTTACTCCACAGAGAAGCTGTACCAGCAGAAGTCCTGGAAAACTGACAGCTTTGCATGTTGTAACAATGCAACTCAAGACTATCAGAAGGATATAAATATTTGTATAGATACTTAACAAAGCAGCAATCAGCGATCAGGTCCCACCAAATGAGCTTACAGTCTATTGTCCTGTTTTGTAAAAGTTGGTGAAATAAAACGATGCACAGCAGATTTGCTGAGCTCCGAAGTCAGGGAGTCGGTAAACTGCGAACATGTCAGCTCCCTCCTGGCTCCCCTCTACAGTCTGTGAGCAAATGGAAAAATAAACCATTGGAAAAAGTCTCAGCCTAATAAAACTGCACAGATAGAATAACTTCTTCATTGGATTCAGAAGTAGCACGGGGGGTTCTTGCTAGCACAGATTTGAGCTCTGCCATCACACACTGCACATACAATATCTGGATCTCAGATATTGCTCCTGAAGGAAGAGCCAGCTTCCTTCTCTTATCTTCCTTCTATATCAAAAAGCAGTGTTCACACCCAATCCCATGCTTTCTTATATTAAAATATGAATTTAAGAAATACCAGTGAAAGGGGATTTTTAAAACCAGAAACTCTTTGTGTTGTAATGTTCTTGATATGTTAATAAAACTGTTTTCAATCACCATCAGAAGAAAACAAATTTACCTCTAATCATGGTAGCACAGTAGAGCAGAACGAGCACTCAACTGGTGATCAAAAGAAATAAGTTCTAGTCCTGTCACTAAGAAGCTATGTGACCAGTAGAGGCACTTAATCTCTAAGAGAGTCAAGTTTTGAGTAGGTAAAATGAGCTGGGGAAGGGGTGAACCAGTGAGAAGGAACACTGGTCTGTCTGGGGCCCCTAGAAGACACAGCCAAACTTCTTGCTTGCTCTTGTCCAAACACCTCCTTGTCTTTTAAGGCCTGGACTGTCTAGAGGGATGGCTACTGGCTTGGAGCAAAACCAATGTGTCTGTCATCTTAATACACAAGGAATGTGATGAAACGAGGGTGTCTGTGTGGAAGGGACAGACCCAAATCCACTCTGCATTTGGCAGTGAGAGCAGGGAGGAGGCCACCTCCAAATCTGGTCACTCCTAGTCCCAAGAGAGAGAAGCCACATCACCCCCGATTATGTTAGCCTCATTCTGCAGCCTCAGCAGGCTCTGAGCAGGTGGAAAGTCAGACTGGGGTCCAACCAGAAGACCCAAAACAGGAAAGGCGGGCAGCTGCAAAAGAGCCTCACTTCTCCAGGGATTGTGACTGTTTATTAAAAAACCCTCACCCATGCCACCCACTGCAGCCTGGACAGGCATTCTGGAAGGCAGACATCTCCCTGGAAGACAGCAGGCTATTGTTTCCTCTGAGCCCTGCAACAATTTTCTCTGGACCCTCTCCTCCATCTATCCCCAGGATGGAGCATAACCCTCCCTCCTGTCCATCAGACTGCCCAAATCTGGGGAAAGAATTTGTGGCGCTCCGGTCTGAGTGCAGACCAAGCTCCCAATACCAGTGGCTGTTTCAGGCTTACAAAGCCTTGGTGGTTTCCACACCCAGCAGTTCCTACCCAGGACTGAAAAGCCCTCAGCAAACACCCAGATGGCCCTTGTTCACCCTCCTGGAAACCTATAGCTGCCAGGGAAATGTGACATTTTGTGAGGACTAATTTTACCCACCTAGAAGATCGAGGAGCCAAGATGCAACCCTAAAGCCCATTGCAAGGGATAATATTCTGGATCTTTTTTCAGAGCTTGGTTATTTTATAAAATTTGTATATTAACGGTAATTCACATTCATCTAAATCTCCTGAAAATTGAGTATTGGCTGCTTTATTGATTCTAGAAAAAAAGAAAGAAAGGCAGGGAGGGAATGAGAGGGCGAGGAGGGAATGAAAGACACTGAGTGTTAAGGCCCAACCCAGCCAAAACCCCACCTGCTAGAAGTCTTCAGGCATGCGGGAAGCCTACATGGCTTTGAGTGGCACATTCTGAGCATTCTGAAGAGCACATTCAGCCTACACTGCCCCCATGCCACAGGGCCCTGGCCTCCTTTTTGACTCACACTTGCCTGGCAGGACTCCCCACACCAAACAGAGACACTCAGCCGAGAACAAGAAGGCAGGGCCCGGGGTTCACACTGCACAGTGGTTTCCGAAGCAATTCCGGAACTGCTGCCTACTGGCACGCACGCAGGAGCAATGATGGAGATGCAGTACCTTCTGGGTCTGCCTGGGTCCAGCCTTCCCTTTCCTAGTCACTGTGGGGTTTCACCCAGTCCAGCCACCCACTGCTAAGGCAGAGAAGCCCACCCATCAGAATGCTAGGATATGACACACTTGCACCTTCCGCCTGGCCAGGCTGCTCTCCCAAAGAAGGAATAACAGAACAGAACAGTCAACCTCTGACTACTTGTGGCTTGTAAATGTATACCAATGTTCTTCTTGAAGTGGGAGCTGAGCATTGGGGCACCCAGGAAACATAAAGTCCCAGGCAAAAAATAAATAGAAGAATGAGTCTGCTAAAACAACCAACTCCGTCTCTGTCTCCCCCAAGACCTCCTAGTCAGAACCTTCACTCAGCGTTTCAGCAGGTACTGTTTACCTGGAAATACAGCTGATGTATTTACTGAGAAGCTTCTTCAAGCCTTCTGCTGGTGCTTAGGGACTATAGCAATCAAGTCTTAAAATTATATAGAGAGATGGAATATCAGGTACATTTCTGTCCCCGAAAATGCTTAAAAGATCAAATTGATTCCTATTACATGCCTCCCCTACCAGCGAGCACTCACCACCAGCTTCCTTGCTCCAAACCATTAAAGCTGAGCTTCCCCAAAAAACCAGCCTTCTGCAAGCCGTGCCTTTCCTCCCCTGTGTCCAGGCTGTGGGGCATGGAGAGGAATCAGAGGCGTAAGGAGTTCTGGATCAGAATCCCTAGTCTACCCCTGCACTGCATGAGACCAGACATGCCATTTAACCTCTCTAGGCTTCAACTACCCCTTCTCCTGCCTCTTCGCAGGGTTACGCATGAGGTGAGGCTCAATTTGACAATGCTTCTCAAAAGGCTTACTCCAGAAAAAATGTGATTTCATCTCTATGCTCATTAACAGCACAATGGATGTTTGAAAGGGATGGGCCCAATTTTTCATGAGCCAAAAAAGCTAGAGGATTGGAGAGAAGAGAAGGGACCGATACTCAGAAATGGCTTCAAGGGTGTCCTTTGGCACCCCATTCTTCCAGATTGTTCCAAATGCCTGCTGCAGTAATAACAGCCCCAAAAGAACACACCGCTTTGTCAGGACTTGTAGGTGAAATGTGTTGGAGCAGCTGTCAGCTTGGGGAAAATCACTCATCAGGTAGTCAGCCGAGTGGGGCTGCCTTCAGCTGGACAAACACTGAATCCGCTCAGGGAATGAGCGAGTGCTTTCCTGTCCTCCCCTTCGGGGCCAAACCAGCCCTCTTTTACCTTCTTGTCCAACCCAGTGGGCCTCTTTCCCTCAAATACACCCCTCCATCTCTTCCCTCCAGCTCCCTAAGCTCTCATTCAGGGCACAGACAGCTCTCCAGGCTGCCAGAGCAAGGGAGTTAGGAAATAACAACCCCTCTGCATCCATCCCCACCTTCCAGAGGCAGGGGACACAGCTGGCCACTCTGTGATGAGAATGGGTAACTCTTCCAGCTGGGTCTATCATTTTAGAAGAAGCCATTGGTGGCTGACTCTTAAGTGGGAAGGGCCTATTACAGAGATCTCCAGAGGAACTCTACCTGAGGGAGAGGAAAACACCCCCCAAAACAATAGTGGGCAGAAAAATCTGCATCCCGTAAACACCCAGAAGCAATAGCAGCCTCACCTGGCTGATCTGCCAGACACTGTGGAGGTGGCATGGTGGCATTTGGTAAATAACCCAAATAGGGCTTTGAAGGGTATGAGACACCACACTAGGCTTTGCAGCCCAGGTGAAACCAGATGGTTCGAGAAGACAGTGAATCACTCATAGGCAAGGGATGTTGTAAACACACCTAAAAATCCCCTTTCCCAGCCATCCTTTGACACCCACCACAGAAATCACAGACAGGCGGGACAGAACACCTGGGCCCAAAATAGCTTGTCCTATTAGCCAAGTGTCAGCACTCCCACTTTGTCTGAGGGCATGGCAGGGAGGCGGCTGGCCATCGGCTTAGGGCTCTGGCCTCCTCATTTAATTATTTCTGCATCAGAGGAAGAGTCACCTTCACAGGCCAGCTGTGGTCTGATGTGCCACATCTAATGCCAGGAGGCCCTGCCAGCGGCCTCCATTCTGGTCTGTCAAATTCCTGGAGACCTTGAGACAGTGTTCCTCAGATCCAGGACAGGGCTGGCTCAGGGTGCCACCAGGGTCAACCCGAGGACACCAATCCTCAGACCCTCCAAGATGACAGTATCTCATTTTGCCAGCCTCAGTGAGCCAGCCCAAGCTGGCATGCTGAGTCCCAGGAAAGTCCTGGCTATAACAACCCAGCACCCAGGTGCTTTTGTGCATGGCTGCTTAGAGGGCTAATGATAAAGGCAGCTCACTAAGGAAACGACCATGCCCAGCAGTCTCCTAAATTGCGAAGGCAGCATTTACCACCGAGGAGAGCCCCCTGCATGTGTCCTTCTAAACACCTGATATATACCCATTTTTCTGTCAGCAACCTCAAATAATGTCTATAATGCTGAGATTTATACATGGGTGATTATAAATGTGATTTCATTATAGCCTCTGCAAAACTACCTTTCCGCCTAAACATTCAATTAATGTAATTAAATTGCTACCTGATGGCATTATCTAATTTAACTTGGGATCCAAACTATTGAAAAGCATGTGCCTTTTAGCACCCTGACTGGTAAGGCATGTGATGAACAGAGCTATAAACATGTTGGCGTAACTGAGCTGTTTAAAAATAAATTAGCAAACTATAAAAATAAACAGTAACATACATATGTACTCAATTATGGACTAACTCTAATTTTTCTTCTGAAATACTGTCTTTGACCTTAGTCATAAACAAGCACTATTAAAAAAACATAATATCCCAACAGACAGAATGCCAAGGATTAAATGCTCTTCCAGCTCAGCAGAATGCAAAACCAGATAGGAAGGAAGGAAGGAAGGAAGGAAGGAAGGAAGGAAGGAAGGAAGGAGGGAAGGAGGGAAGGAGGGAAGGAGGGAAGGAGGGAAGGAGGGAAGGAGGGAAGGAGGGAAGGAGGGAAGGAAGGAAGGAAGGAAGGAAGGAAGGAAGGGAGGGAGGGAGGGAGGGAGGGAGGGAGGGAAGGAGGGAAGGAAGGATGGGTGGGAGGGAAGGATGGAAGGGAGGGATGGGAGGGAGGGAAGGGAGGAAGGGGAAGCCCTTGCCTTTCTTGAAAAGCTAGAAAACTGTGTCCAAAACCTACAAAGACTGCTGCGCCCTTGTTGACTTGAAGCTGCTTCCGTTCGAGACAGAAAAGTTAAAACCTGGTGAAGTGCTTTTACATTTTCAGATGTTTTGGAGTCTCTCAAGAAATGAGGGCAGGCAAGGGGAAGAACTATTTCCGCACACAGCTGTTTCAACAGCTCACTGTCTGCATAACAGAGCCTCTTACACAGGGCTGCCTCCCCACCTGAACGGAGCTCGCTGTCCTAAGTCGGCTACTGCCTCTAAGTCCCCAGCTTTTCTAAGACATATGGCAGAAATGTGGAAATTGTCTTCCAAATAGCACAAGACAGAAAGCGGGTGGGGTGAGGGGCGACGGGTGCGGGAAGAAGGGAAGAGGTAAAATCAAGCTGTTGAAACTGTATACAGGACACGTTTTCACACTAATCCAATGCTCCTGTAACAAAGGACAGCATACTATGGGATAATTACTATGGATTATTATTACAGTTTCTAAAGCAAAAGAACAAAAAAAATGCACAAAAGACATATTACACACGCAGATTTCTAAAGCTTTAAAATCATATGGTCTTCGGTGTTGGTTCCTACGGGGTTATGGATAATGCCCTAACTGAGCACGACAGATGCAAACACAAAAAAGAAATCACAATAAACCTGAAAGTCTCTCATGTCATGGTGCTTACTGCCCTTTCTTTCACAAACAAAAGTAGTTGAGCAACAGCTAAGTAGTTATTCATCTCAAAGAACCAACCTAAAATGCTGACAGCATCAGCGTTGTCTACCCCCACCCCCAAATAACAACAACAAATTACACAAATAAAGACTAGGAGGAAGCTCAAACGCATCCACACTTGGTTCAGAATGCAGGAAAGGCCTGGTGTGAAAGAGGGGACAGAGAAGCTTTATGGGTATGCAGAATGACACCCCAGGCCACACTCCCTGCAGGGGCCACAGGAGCCGGGTCCCAGGTCTGACTTTTACACAAACAGGGGGTTGCCAGTTGCTGCAAGACAAATATCCCAGCACGCTACCTGATTGGCAAAGGAATGCAGCCAGGAGGTTCTGGAATAGCACAGTGTGGAATCGCACTGGACTTTTCCTGTCCTCAGGAGGACTTTGCTTTCATCCGAAATGTAAAGCATTTGATTGGCAGGT